CATTACCGTTTTCGACTGGTCGAAGAGATTGTCGACAATCGCCTACTTGTTTAATGCGATTCTCATCGAAAAGAATAGCAATCGCTTCTCTAGAATATTGTGCGGAATGTTTTGAATGATAATTATTTCATACAGGATGATCTGTTACGTCTTTGACATACCAAGGCAGAAGAAGCTTATGAAATTAATGTTATTTTATTTCTGACAGTGACATTATAAGCTTATATCGTCATAGTTACGATATCTATAATGAGGGTCATAACTCCCTTGGGATGTTATAGATGCTATAATTCCCTCTAGCTAAAATTAAATGAGAAATGCATAGCAACAACCATGAATAACGTAGCAATAAGGAATCTCCTATTCACGGTAGTCAAGATCATCATCTGACGTTCTGATGACATTGAAACTATACGGAAAAACATGTCTAACTTCCAATCGGAAAGGTATCTAATGAATGAAATCAGTCAAAAATAAAATTATCTATGTACCACGGGAATTACTGAGCCTCAATAACCTCAGGCAATTGCTGTCCCTCGGGCCAGAGGCCCTCGGGACGCAAACTTTGCCATCGGTAATTAAGGCCCTCATAATTCCCTTAATACATAAATAACTATTAATAATATATCTGATTTTTCTCATCCGTTATGAAAGTATATTGGTTTGTGTGATTGATTGAATTTAGATCAGCGCTTTTTTTGTATCCTGCAAATATGTCCTTTGTCTTGAAGTATATTTTGTTCCAAGTCTCAAGTCTATAGCCTCAAGTGTATAGTCTCCAATCTATAGTCACAACAGGTCACAAGTTCATAGTCTCAAAAATTTTGTGTAAATTTTGCATAACTATTATAGTCTCAAGTTTGAGCCCATACAGAGTGCTCCAAAGTTTAGTATCTAGATTTCAGGGACGTATTACTCAGGTCACAATAAGATTCTGTGTTCCTATATGTGTCCGCAAACGCTTAGTTACCGTTCTACAGAGCGTTATACTTTTTTTTATTTTTCAGCACCTTTCATAAAAAGTGAAGGTTCGTTAGGTTTCTTAATATTTAAGTAATGTTTGAGAGCATTTAATTAGGATCACACACAACTAAAAATACAGTGTGTCCCACTTACCATGCTCACCATGGGTATCTTTTTAACGGTGAGAGATACGAGGTCGGTTAAATGACACCAAATGTGGAGTTTGTCAAGGCCAACTATAATGTGAAAAAATATTTTGATAAAATCTATTCGTTTTTGTTTTATACGCAAAAAACAGATTTTGATCATTTTCATGTCTCCTCCGTAACTTCTTTATTTATGAAAATATTCAAATAGGAATTTCACATTCTCATGGCAGTTTTTCAAAGTGATTTCGAAAAAAATATGAAATTTATACTTACTCTTTTAGAATTTGAGATATCAGCACCAACTTTAGTTTTTCAAATGTAGGTCATAGCTCACTATGACTTAGTTACAAATAACTTTTTTTTCTCTTTCAAATGATGTGTCGCAGTAATAGTTTCGTGATGATAACAATGGAGTTATCGTCATTTATACAAATACAAAAAATTATTTGGAAGCCGCCATCTTGAATTTATAAATTTTGACAAGAAAATCATGATCTCCGACCTCAAAAACCCCCACTAACCAATTTTGAAGATCGGAGATCATGATTTTTTTGTTAAAATTCATAAATTCAAGATGGCCGCTTCCAAATAATTTTTTGTATTTGTATAAATGACGATAACTCCATTGTTATCATCACGAAACTATTACTGCGACACATCATCTGAAAGAGAAAACAAAGTTATTTGTAACTAAGTCATAGTGAGCTATGACCTACATTTGAAAAACTAAAGTTGGTGCTGATATCTCAAATTCTAAAAGAGTAAGTATAAATTAAATTTTTTTTTCGAAATCACTTTGAAAAACTACCATGAGAATCTGAAATTCCTATATGAATATTTTCATAAATAAAGAAGTTACGGAGGAGACATGAAAATGATCAAAATCTGTTTTTTGCGTATAAAACAAAAACGAATAGATTTTATCAAAATATTTTCTCACATTATAGTTGGCCTTGACAAACTCCACATTTGGTGTCATTTAACCGACCTTGTATCTCTCACCGTTAAAAAGATACCCATGGTGAGCATGGTAAGTGGGACACACTGTATAGTGTTTTTTTTGTTTTCATTAGGATAATAGGTTCCTTCCTTTCTTTTAAATTCCAATTAAATCCAGCAAATTACAAAAAATATGTTTTTTTTTTTTCAGTTCATGAACGAAACAAAGAGCTCATTTCGTATTTCAAAACCTACCAGAAAAGAGTTTATGGAGCGAATAAGGGCCTGATCCCAAAAAAAATATGTAGTTGTAGATTCTTACAATCACACGGCATACTGTATGATGTGAACCCTAAAACACCCTGTATACAAAAGCGTCAAGGAACTCTAGCGGTTAGAGACCATAGATAAACTACAACCTCACTTTTTTTATTTGTTTACAGGGAATCAAAGGATTGAAATAGTTTTTTCAGATAAAACAAAAAAAAAAAAATGAAAACGATATTGGAGTTTGATGCGAACAGCCCTTCTGCCCCAAATAAGTTTCAGAAATACATTCTGAGAATTGAAAAAGATCGAACGGAACAAGAGTAAATTTGGTCATAATGTTGATATTTCCTCTAGTTTACGGACAATCTCGGTCTTTTGAACTTTGATTGATCACCTGGGTCAGAATCAACTGTATTTAGAAGAAGCTGATTCTCATGAACCTCTGCTTTCCCGAAAGTCTTGATGTTTCGTTCTCTAATCACGGACACGTCAAGGAGATCCTGTCACCATTCTCGCGATTTTATTTTGTAATGTTTGTAATCTGGTGATATGAGATTTAGCTGTGTGGCCCCCGGCCCCAGACTACCGAGGCATACAGTAAGATTGGCCTGGTAGCCATGATGTAAATATTCAATTTTTGTCTCAAACCCAATTTACTTCGTCTGTTCAGAAATGGATACAGGGTTCCAATGGCTCGTTTAACTTTTGAAACTCATTGTTCAATGTGCTGGGCCCAGGTGAGCTTTTTGTCAATGCACACACCTAAGTATTTAACTTGTGAAGACCACTCTAACTCATGACCATCCAGGACTATTCTGGTTCTGGGAGCCCTCCGCTCCCTTCCGAGTGCGACCAGTTGTGTTTTTGCAGGATTCGATTTGATCTTCCATCTTAGGAAGTACTCCTGAAGAGAATTTAGCGCACTTAAGAGGTTCATAGCTGCATGCTCGAAAGGACCCCGCACGAAAACACGGGAAATTGGCTCTCGGTCGAATTGGCTGGAATTTGGCTATGTTGTTGTGGGATGGCTCATTAGAAATATATGTGAGTTTAAAAAGTTTTGTATGTTTAGTTTCTGAGATATAATCCGACAAAGTTCGTGAAACGAAACATGAAAAATTGAAAAACTTTTTGCATATGATAGTCAACATATTCAAAATAGTGTGTGTAAAATGAGATCCAAATTAACGGAACTGTTTTCGAGATATTCAATTGAAACATGTTAAATAATCTTCAACAAAATCTAACACACCCTGTATCTAAATGAAAGGCAATATTGAACAACTGAATTCGCTAGTGAGTTTCCTCAGCTTTCATTCAATCAACAGTATCAATCAATCTCTTTCTTTGTGATCAAAAACAAGCTTTCAATTGTTTTCAAAAGGGGTATAACACAAAATTCAAAGAATTCATATTTCGAACAGAGATAGTTATCAAGAATCGAAATACGTTTACAGAGCCTACAATAGACTAAAACTATAATGTCTCACCAAAATATAACTTGGTGGTTTTGAAATAGTACTCGAATTTTTTTCCGAAAAATGAATTTTTTGACCGTGCCTCGTATACATCCTGATTTACTATAATTCATGTGATCATAACTAGACATATATTTGAGTTCCGATCAATACATTTTCTAGCTTATTTTGTCTTATTCATTCTAAAAAAACAGTTTTTTTCTTCGTCAATCCTACCCCGATACGACGTTTTTACGAACTTTGTAGGCTTATATCTCAGAAACTAAACATACAAAACTTTTCAAACTCACATATTTTTCTAATGAGCCATCCCACAATAACATAGTTAAATTTCAGCCAATTCGACCGAGAGCCATTTTACCGTGTTTTCGTGCGGGGTCCTTTGTCTAATATACAAGAACTGCCGTATCATCAGCAAAAAGTGGCATCGCACATCACCCTGAGGAACACCAGCTCCAATGGGCTTGATACCAGATCGTTGATCATCAAGTTTCACTTGAAAAGTTCGGTTTTTCAGAAATGAACACATCAACTGAATCAAATCGTCAAGAAAACCTATATCCAATCATTTTGTACAAGATACCATCATTCCATACCTTGTCAAATGCTTTCGCTATGTCAAGGCGAGCAAGATGGGTCTTTTGTCTATCATTTCTCATCGATATTGTGTTCTCAATGAGTCTCCAGACTTGTAGTTCAGTTGAGTGACCAGTTCTGAAACCGAACTGCTCATCTGGTATCAGCTCGTTGTCGTCGATAAATTCCTGTAACCTCTGTTTAATCACTCGCTCAGATATCTTAGATGGAGAGCACAGGAGACTGATAGGACGATAGCTCTGCGGGAGAGCATCATCCTGGCCCTGCTTCTTAAGCATCACTACTTCGGCATGTTTCCATTTTTGAGGAAAATATAATAGTTTCAATATGGCGTTGATGATTTTACATAAGTGATGAAATTACCAGGAATCCTTTTTAGTATTCTGTTTGTAAATCCGTCATCACCTGGAGCTTTCCTGATTTTTTGTGCTTTGATATTGTCGATTATTTCATCCGTAAAGGCGGGCCTTATTCTCACATCGTGAACGTCATTATTTAAATGGACCAGGACTACTCGCTATTAGATACGGTCGACGACTTGAAACTCGCAATTCACGGCCTCCTTCATTATTTGCTTGAAAAATTCGATGATCCTGTTTTGCAGCCGACCACCTTAGATCGCGACGACAAAGTCGACGACAGCGTCGATGGCAGACCGAGGTTCGTCGCCGTCGCTTCGTTGGAGGACGTGCAGGCCGTCAGATGCGCCGATTTCCACCCTAGCGGCCGCATCTACGCGGTGGGCTCGAACTCGAAAACGCTGAGGATATGCGCTTACCCGAAAGTCAACGATCTCAGGTAGGAATATAATAATCGGTAGTAATACTATGAGTACTTGCAATTATTCAGGTTATACATCGATACTTACGAAGAGTGTCGGTTAAACTGATTATATTTTATATTCATCCGGCTCGAAGGACCATTTGTTGTGAGTCGGAATCTTACCTTGAATATAATATATCTTATAATAATCCGGCTCGAAGAATCAATTGTTAGGAATCGAAATCTTACTTTGAATATAATATATTTTATACTATTCCAGCCAAATGAAAAAAAAATTACTTGACTTTTCTTACTGAAAACTCGGTCATATAAAATATATTATATTTAAGTTAAGATTTCGACTCACAACAAGTAATCGTTATCTAAACCTAAAAAAAATTCAAATTTTGGCCAAGATCGACTTTCCTGTCAAAATTATAATCAAAATGTTCGAACATTTCAAGTACATACACAAATGAGGAAAGCAGAAAGAAGAAACTGTTGTTTATGCAATGATAAGAAAGCTAGATTTATTGATGCTATTCCAATTTAAGTAGGAACTGGAACTCATCAGTGCTGTGATAAATCATAACTATTCACGATTTAACCAAATGATGGTATGCAAGGTACGAATAAAAACGTATTTACTTTGATATTGGTAATAATAATAACCTACTATATCATCTATAGTTCTCGTATATCAATTCATTATTTTAAAAGAAATAATACCTATGTGGCTCAAGAAGAAACTCTTACCTGATGTTGTGAGAAGTCACTGCATGTTATCTCAAATTCACGTCATCATTGTAGAAGTGCAACAAATAACCAACCAGCAACTAACTTGTAATTAGACAATCAAATCAAAATTGTAATGTGTCCGAGATGACGTTTTGATAACTTCAACGAGATGTTTTCAGTAAACTAGCACCATTGACAGGCAGACAAATTTTGGTTGAATGAAAACAGGTGCCATACGTGCCTGCTTTCGTATTCATATCGTGACCTGACATTAAGTCAATTCATATCGAAAAAATTGAATTAATCAAATTATTCTGGTCGCAAATATCAAGCCCCAGAATTATACATCAGTAAATAAATCGACTGCTTCAGTTTATGATGAAAGGTAAATATATGTTTTTCCATTGGGAATTGTACCTAAAGCTAAGACAGGAATGTTTACTCATTTCAATCTGGATAAGAGAACCAAATATATACTTGAAATTTCCAAAATCAAAGCCATCTGTCTATCATCTAGGATTGTTCAACTAGATTCAAGAATATTTTAAGAAAATTATCGAGATTTCAATGAAATTTCCTCCCGAATTAATTTGAGCACTGGAGAACATACTAGTTGTTATAAATTAGGTTTTCGAAGTGCCTCGCAAAAATGTAACTATTATTCTCATAGAATTGTGGATACTAGAATTATTTGCAGTCACATCGAACATGGATAGAGGAACCTGAATTTTTACCATATGTCACGAACATTCATATTTGAAACAACTGTTATAATATATGTTAAGTTTTGCCATTAAAAATACAGGAATTCGGTTACACGAAAAAAAAAACTGGTTTTACTTTCAACTGCAATGTCAAAAACGGTTCTACTATTATTTTACTTTATTGTTATTGCTTTCGCCTTTCTTTTGTTAACTTTCAGTTTCAAACAACTGTTTATATTTAGAATAATATTGTGATAAAATGGCCTTCTCATCTCAGTATTAACATAATGCATATTTCCTATCTCATTATAAATATTTCTCTGAATATCATCGAATGGGTGTCTTTAACAGAAATATTCTGCTTAGCAGACAATTGCTAATTGACTTTTCGTAGAAGCAGAAATACACAACTATAAAGATCGGTATAAATTGACACATATTTAATATTTCTCAATTATTTTCCTTAAATACTTTTAACCTCTACAATGCGACGTTTTCAGATATATTGAACTGCCTTCTATATATAGTTTACACTTTCCTATCGGTGTTTTTTCTCTGAGCGATTGACGCTTGACATCTGACAGATCCTGAACTGTAGCTCTTCTGATAGTCCAATCGTGGTATAAACATATTCTTTGAGCCTGCAATGCCCTATCAGGAGTCCCACTAGTATTCTGCTAGTACTCCCATTTTCATTCAGTAGATCGGCCAGAAGATAAGTCGGACTGAATCCCAGTTCGATTTCTAACAACAGGAAAGTTGTGCTACAATATATACAAGTAGTTCAACATGCTAGATCGTCCTCCATATCTCAATAGCGATAATCATAATCATGTCCAGTACACAGCTTCGCGGATGATAGTACCCTCCATACCGCCTTCTCTTCCAGGGCTCCAATACCAGCCAGGCAAATCAGAAACGAACGAGGGAGAAATGTTGGCAACATAAATATGGACTTTGCAACAATTCTCGAATGGGGATCCAAAAACTTGGTAGAATTCAATGCAAACAAAACATAAGCATGCCTTTTCTCTAAAAAGCCGATCTCACTGTGCCCAACATAAGCTTTTCAGGAGTAACCATACCTTTGAAGACATCCATTTCGATGCTTGGTATTACTATTAGCAATAATCTTTCTTGGGAAAATCACGTTAGATCAATTGCTAAAAGTGCATCCCAAAAACTTGGTTTTCTGTTTCGGGTCAGGACCTATTTCACTTCCAGTCAGCTGCTTATGATCTATAAGGCACAGATCCGACCTGCTATACCTATACAAACCTCTGCACTTCTATCACTAGGTGGCTCAAAAAGCTAGATCTCCCTTCATATCTCGATAGCGGCAATTATTCCAGGAAAAACCACCAGACCTACCCACCGACGGTAACGGTGTCTCTGTAGGTATGGCTTGCTATAACCTATAAACACCTTTGAACATTCACCACTAGGCCCAACAGGTTCCCATATTTCAATGACTGCAATTATTCCAGTGAAAAGGCATTGGCGGTCTAGATAGTATTCTACGTAAGTGGCTACAACCTACACACACCTTTGCACTTTTACCACTAGATGGCCCAACAGACATCGAGGGCGACGCGATCGAGTGACAAAGCATGGCATTAGCGGTCTAGATAGTACTTCATGTGAGTTGTTGCAATCAATACACACCTTTGCACTTTCACCACTAGGTTGTCCAACAGGCTAGATCGTCCTCCATATTTCGATAGCGGCAATTATTCCAGGGAAAACCGCCGGACCTATCAACTGACGGTGTCTCTGTAGTGCAAGCGTTATCTGGTTTTGCAGGTGTGGCTTGCTGCATCCTCTACACACCTTTGCACTTTTACCACTAGGTGGCCCAACAGGGTAGATCCTCCTTCATATTTCGATAACGGCAATTATTCCTGGGAAAACCACCAGAGCTACCTACCGACGGTAACAGTGCCTCTGTAGGTATTGCTTGCTATAACCCATAAACACCTTCGGTTTCCATATTTCAGTGACTGCAATTATTCCAGAGAAAAGGCATTAGCGGTCTAGATAGTAGTCTACGTAAGTGGCTACAACCTACACAGACCTTTGCACTTTTACTACTAGATGGCCCACCAGGTTATATCCTCCTTCATATCTTGATAGCGGCCATTATTCCAGGGAAAACCACCAGACCTACCAACCGACGGTTCTGTTCAAGCGCACCAAACACCACAAGGGCTCCATCTACTGTCTGGCCTGGTCTCCTGTCGGCGATCTTCTCGCCACTGGCTCCAACGACAAGACGGTCAAGCTGATGAAGTTCAACGTCGATACGTCGAACATCGAGGGCGACGAGATCGAGTTGGGCATGCACGATGGGACGATAAGGGACATCTGCTTTCTGGAGGACAGTTCGAATAAGTCGAGCTTGCTGATTAGTGGGGGCGCTGGGGATTGCAAGATTTATATTACGGATTGCGCGACCGGGACGCCTTTCCAGGCGCTCAGCGGTCATACGGGTGAGTTTTGTTTCGGTTCGTGTACTGGAAAGATCTGTAATGTGTTGCAGTGGAAATTTCGAATGGACCGTGAATTTATGTTGCGTTTACTTAGAACTTCAGAGTTTCCACTATGGTGACATGTGATCTGAAATGTGTGTATTAAATTACATTTCTCAATATTCTCAAATACTGTCTGTCCATCGAAGAGAAATTATAGTTGATAGTTCGAGTTTTCAACCGTTTTTACGTTGAGGTAGTATGATTAATATATTTGAAAAAAATTCATCAGGATTCCCTTAACTCTATAAGTTTGAACATTGAAAGCTACTGTCAAGCTGGGTCATTAGAACTTGAATTCACCATTCTCAAGTTCATTCCTCTTATTCAGAATTAAAAATCATGCTAGCATACCACAATAAAGTCTACATATTTCGGATATCTGAAGAAAAAGAAAACGAAGATAGGTTTAATGAGTAAATTGATAGGACAGTGACAAAAGTCATATAATTTATATACAGGAAGAAATGAAATTATAAAATTAGATTGTTGTTGAATATCTTATAAGGTAGAGTCATTTTGAATATCATCATGAACAAAAGATAATAAATAAGAATATATGTGACTGAGATTATCAATATCTGTTTTCTTATTCATAGTGTATTTCTATGTCTACATCATCTATATGTTTTTGTATCGCTTGGAGCGCACGAAAGGGAATCCCTATGATGTTCAAAGAACATCGTGCGTTCCTAGGGTGGATAGGGACAGGAGGTAGGAATTGGATTTTTTTTTTGAACTTTTGGAGATTATATGTTGTTGGGAATACTTCCACAGGCAATGAATTCCAGAGCCTAGCCGTTCTATGGATAAAAGAGTCTTGATAAAGTGCTGTTCGGCATCTTTCGAGGTTGACAACGAAAGGATGTGCTGACTGGGCTTGTCTAGTTCGTCTGATTGGTATTGCTAGTGAAGGGATGATAGCAGAGATTTCCGAAGAACATTTCCCGTGGAAGTATCGATAGAAAAGTGAAAGGTCGCCGACCTTATTACGGTGTTCCAATGATGTCAAAGAGTGAGTGAGTGAGTGTGGCGTCACCCACCAGGCGAATGGCTCTTCTCTGGATGGAATCTAAGAGCATCAGCGTATGTTTTGGTGCTGAACCCCATATGTGGGAACAGTAATCTAGAACTGGCCGTATCTGCGCTTTGTAGATCATGAGAAGCTGTTGAGGTGTAAAGTAGCTTTTCGCACGGAACAAGAATCCGAATTTTTGTGAAGCAGCTTTTGCGATGGATCTGACATGATTTTCCCATGAAAGAGTGTTGCTGATGGAAATACCGAGCATAAATATGGTGGGCTTGGTGGGGATGGTGGAGCCAGACATTACAATATCGGGCATACTGAGTTCCGCCTTTCTAGAGAAAATACAGGCTTGAGTTTTGGTGGCGTTGAATTCAACTGGGTTGTTGGTTCCCCAGGCTGTGATTTCAGCAAGATCTTCATTGACAGCATTGACCTGCCTGCGCCGTGAGTTCTTAGTTTCCTGGGAAGAAATGGGAATTCTGGAAGAGAACGCAGTATGGAGGGTACTGTCATCTGCAAAGCTGTGGATAGGGAGTTGTTACTCCCAACAGATCATTGATATGATATATACTCATTATTATTCCAATTTTACCTTTTAACTCACATTGCAAGTAAGTTCTTGTTTTTGTTGAATTGAATTGTAACAAAATGTTTCATATACAATATATTGTTTCAGCCTAAAAGAAGAAAATAAAAATTTTCGAAAGCTTGGCATAGCAATAAAGTAGTTTGCTTTAAGCCCGATTGACTGAACTCCCCGATATTTCCTATTATATCATAATATAATACAGTCGATAAACTATTCAATAATGATTATATGTATCTACATTTTTTTTGATTGCGTGGAAGAGTAGCTTCATATCTTCGTTGGTGCGGGTGTGCCGCAGAAATCCGTCCTTCAGTATCATAATATATTCTTATGTTATAGTATGAATTGATTAGTATTATCGTTTCCAGGCCACATCCTCACTTTGTACACGTGGGGCGGCGCGATGTTCGTCAGCGGCTCGCACGACAAGACCGTCCGCTTCTGGGACCTGCGCACCAAGGGCTGCGTCAACGTCGTCACGCCCGTCACGGTGCCGGGCACCAGGCAGAGCTCGCCCGTCGCCTGTCTGTGCGTCGACCCGTCGGGCAGGCTGCTGGTTTCGGGCCACGAGGACAGCGCATGCGTGCTGTACGATATTAGGGGAGGGCGGGGCGTGCAGAGCTTCAAGCCGCATTCGGCCGACGTGAGGTCGATACGGTTCTCGCCCTCCGCCTACTACTTGTTGAGTGCCGGGTACGATAACAAATTGGTGCTCACCGATTTACAAGGTCAGTTACTTGTCAATTCCATGATTTATTTCTGTTTTCCTTTTCTCCTCGGATTTCTCTCTGATTTATTCTATGTTTTAATTTATATGGTTTCACTGTCCTTCCCTTGAGTTTGTTTTTGATTTCATTTCATCATGTGTGATTTCTATTTTGGCATCTTCTTGTTTTGTTCCCCATCTCCCACATCTGACTCATTTCCATTGTTTATAATCTTGATTCCTGCTTTTCTGTTCGGTCCATGAGGTTTTAATTACTGATATAATGTTTTCAGTATTTTCAGTTCCTTCCAACATTTTTCCGGTTATCCCAGTTACTTATTTCTGCTTCCATATTTCCATTATTGTCTCATATATTTTTTGTTTAGTCGATGATCATGCTCTTTGTCTCAATTTTCATGATTATAATAATAATAATCGACAATGGCTGCTTAACAAAATGTAATCCGTATTTTACCCCCTTTTGGGAAACACATTTTAATTTGTTTGTAACGTATTTTACCTTAATTTCGTTAGTTTTAAACTGGACCAAAGATATTTTTATGGACAAATTTCCCTGTTAACCTGACGAGTACGTACTGATGATGACTTAACAGTCGAAAGCGCTCTGCTACAAATATTGAATAAATTATCTTGCACGAAATACAAATATTCCCTTCTTTGGTATATATACACCTGCACACAACCCAGCAACCCTCACTCTTGAAAAAATAAATGTCTACATATACAGTGTGTTAATTCAAGTGTGCAACATATAGGAATCTTTTTTATGAATTGCACAACTAAACTACAGATAGTACTGAAAGTTGGTGCATGTTCGGTAATCATTTTAGGTGCACTTAGAATGGTTGCAAGTCAAACAGCATACAGGGTAAGTCAAAAAATATAAAAATTGCTCAAGAGTAAAGTACCCTTATTTCAGAAAATTCTGCAAAATGTTATCGAGAAAAGTTGTTTACAATTAACAAGACATTTTTTAGTTTTTGAATTCTTTTCGTTAATAATCTTTCAATTTGCATTTTTTTTATATTCACCCTAAACACTTTCATGAGTCAATCATAACAAAATCAGTCGAGCATTCCTTTGATCAAATTCAAGCATATTTGTGCCATTAACTTGGATTTTTATTTTTCCAGGGAATCACAAACACTATGTTTGTTGCAACGATATTCAGCTTAACTTCAAAATTTCGCAAGGTGAAATATCATCAATGATAATATGCATATTCAAAAACTCTCATTTAATATCAACATTAGATTCATGGGGATATTCAAAGCAAAAGGTTCACAAGTATCGACCATTTAATAATGCTGAGGAGCTTGAAAATTCGATACGATTTCATTGCAGAAATATTCCAGCAAATGTGTTGCGATCTACTCTTTGTGAATTTCATGATCGGACAATTAGATGCATTGAACGAGAAGGTGGACACACAGAGACACGTCGATAATTCTTTCTTTACACATTTGATAATGGTTGAGTTATAATAAAAATAAGCCGATAAAAATTGCCTAAACCATCGGCACCGCTTTCAAATACAATTGAAAACATTGTATTTTTCCCTTTTGATTCTTTTATTGATATTTATTAATAATAATGTTTCCTTTCAAGCCTCATTTGTTTTGTGACCTGAGTATCCATGATTATTTTAAAGGATTTCATGTTTGCCGATTCATTTGTATAGCTTTTTCATAAATATTTCATGTACAAAATGTTCACATCAAATGAAAGTTTTTGAACAAGCTCATGAATGATGTTTCACCTTGTTAAAAAGTATAGTTTGCGAAATTTTAAAGTTGAGCCGAATATCGTTGCAACAAACATAAAGTTTGTGATTCCCTAAGAAAATTAAAATCCAAATTAATTGAACAAATATGCTTGAATTTGAGCAAACTGATTTTATCACGATTAACTCATGAAAGTGTTTAGGGTGAATATAAAAAAATTACAAATTGGGAAATTGATAACGAGAAAAATTGAAAAACTGAAAAATGTCTTAGGAGGCCATGTTCTGATATTTAGGCATCACTTCCAATTGTAAACAACTTTTCTCGATAACATTTTGCTGAATTTTCTGAAATAAGGGTACTTTACTCTTGAGCAATTTTCATATTTTTTGACCTACCCCTGTATGCTGTTTGACATGCAACCATTCTAAGTGCACCTAAAATGATTGCCGAACATGCACCAACTTTCGGCACTATCTGTATTTTGGTTGTGTAATTCATTGAAAAGATTCCCATATATTGCGCACCTAAATGACCACACTGTATATCAAAATTTCACCAACTTCACAGTGAGATAAAAATCTCGATATTGTAAACTCCCTCATTGTTCCAGGTGACTTGACGCTCCCGCTGCCGAGCGTGGTGGTAGCCCAGCACGACGACAAGGCCATCTCCGCTCGATGGCATCCTTCGGAGTTCTCCTTCGTGTCGACTTCTGCTGACAAGACGGCAACGCTGTGGGCCCTGCCGCCCGTCTAACCGCCCGATCGCCATCGAATCCTATCGGCACGGATCCGAACTAAAAACCGTATCTGTCGCGGCTCGTACAGGGTCATTCCGTATATTCAAACAGCTTCAACAGGGTTCACCATTGAGGATAGAGAAAAACTTCGAATGCAAAAGTTGTAGGGTTTGTTCTGAACTACCAGAAAATTATACCAGATGAAACAAATGAATATCGCTGATATAAGAAATGGGTACCAACTTCCAATGGAACACCCTATATATTTTTCGAAGAAAATCAAGATCTTTTCTTCCTGATCCCAAAAATATATTGGTCATTGATATTTGGTTCAGCCGTTTTCGAGATATTCGAGGTTGAACATTTCAGATCTAGTCCCAATTTGATTTCACCAAATCGCAATTGCCATGAAGAAAAAATAACACATACGCAAGTTGTCATCAATAAAACGTTCTGTCATTATGTTCATTGCATAGAATTTCGGAAGAAATATGGGTTTCAGTGAAGATGAACACAAATATTTACTTCATAAGTAATTCAATGTTTGTTCTACCTTGGAAATAAAGCAATATTTCCAATTCTCCATCTTCATCAGCAATGACAGTGCGTTTTTTTCTTCGAAGATTTTTTCGTTCTCTCATACTCCTCGCAGTGAAATAAAACGTACTTCTGGAAGGAACTTCATTCCAGGATGAATGCGTTGATACTCCGCTCGATCTTCCACTGCATTATTATTTTTGTAGAATAAACGAATCATTTCAAACTTTTCATCTCCACTGGAACCCATATTTCTTCCGAAATTCTAGGCAATGAACATATGACAGAACGTTTAACTGATGACAACTTGCGTATGTGTTGTTTTTTCTTCATGGCAATTGCGATGTGGTGAAATGAAATTAAAACTGAATCTGAAATGTTCAACCTCGAATATCTCGAAAACGGCTGAACCAAATATCAATGACCAATATATTTTTGAAATCAGGTAGAAAAGATCATGAATTTTTACTAAAAATATATAGGGTGTTCCATTGAAAATAACGAAGCTGGTACCCATTTCTTATATCAGCGATATCCATTTGTTTCATCTGGTATAATTTTCTGGAGGTTCAGAACAAACCTTACAACTTTTGCATTCGAAGTTTTTCTCTATCTTCAATGATAAACCCTGTAGAAGCTGTTTAAATATACGGAATGACCCTGTACGTCAAATTGTCGGTGATTGGTCGCGGAAAGTTTAGCGGAGTCGCTCGTTAGCTATTACCGTGCTCAGTTCAGAACAGCTGATTCGAATGGTGCTTTGGGTTCAATGGGCCTGTTTCAGTGACCATTTGTATATCGTTATTTAGAAGTACTAACGCTAACTAGTCCACTGTCGCCAACCGTTTTTCCTCAGAGCACTCCAATTTTTTTTTTCAAGAAAATGAGCCTTTCCAGTCATTTCCAGAAATATATGTCTCGAAATATATGGCTCTGAAATACCTTAGAATATTTTTTTCCATCAATTCATTGTATAAAAAATAATGCATACGCCAAAATGAATGAGCGAATTCAAACATGGCCGTGAAACGTGTGATGTCAGTGCGCAAGCAATTTGGATTTGGTAATGCCCCTCAACTCCTTGTGGGTGCCAATAAAATGTACAAGGGACTTGACAATGATGCCAATTGGAACAGAAAGCTATGACTAGTCGGATTTTCATTTCTCGTTTTTTTCATTTCAGCAAATAATAAAGATATTGTTAGATTACTCAATAATATCTACCCAACTGAAAATTTGTGGTAATGAAAAATTGCTCTAGTAAAGTACTTTCAAGTTTAGGTACTCACTTTTACCTACATACCATAGGGAAAAGAACACATTTTGGATCAACCAATCTTGGTTCTATTTTCTATTTATTTCAGTACAAGCATCACTGGCTTCCTGTGAATAATATTAAGAAATGAGAACAGTGAAGTTATGCGGAGAATGAGGTATTTTAACTTGGCAACATTGTCTTAACGCCAGTTGCTTCATCTCCTCTTGTTAACATAGTTGCCATATTAGCAATTGAATTTTCCGGTAGTGAGTACTTGGGATATAGTAAACTGTTTGATTTGTTGATTATTACAATTATTCAACAAAATGATAACATCATAACTCAATCCAAACCATATGAAAAGCATCTTACTGTTTGATGCCTGCAGTGAATTACCAATGAACTAATCAGCTGCTACATAGTAATTTCGAATCATTTCATTCTTTGCACTGTTTCACATGAGATCAATTCAAGGATTTCATAGAGACCTGGCAACTGCGGTGTGCTTCCCAACCGCCACGAACTCCAACCAATCAAATTGCGAGGAGACACTGACATCACAGCTCACTAACATTTGAATTCACATGTATTGAAATAGCATTTTCAATATTAAATATTTCATATCATTTCCAATTTTCTCGATGAATAAATATGTGGTCAGGATAACGTTTTTGAATTGGATAACGTTTCTGAATTCCCTTCATAACATTATAGTAAAACAGGATCAAAATTCACCATACTGGAAAGACCCATTATCGGAATTCACAATATTTCATAACATGAACAACGCGAGGAAACGCGTGACGTAATCTACCTTGACCAATCCAATGCAACCATATAAAATTCTACTTATACAGTGTGTCCCACTTACCATGCTCACCATGGGTATCTTTTTAACGGTGAGAGATACGAGGTCGGTTAAATGACACCAAATGTGGAGTTTGACAAGGCCAACTATAATGTGAAAAAATATTTTGATAAAATCTATTCGTTTTTATTTTATACGCAAAAAACAGATTTTGATCATTTTCATGTCTCCTCCGTAACTTCTTTATTTGTGAAAATATTCAAATAGGATCTTCACATTCTCATGGCAGTTTTTCAAAGTGATTTCGAAAAAAATATGAAATTTATACAAACTCTTCTAGAATTTGAGATATCAGCACCAACTTTAGTTTTTCAAATGTAGGTCATAGCTCACTATGACTTAGTTACAAATAACTTTTTATTCTCTTACAGATGATATGTCGCAGTAATAATTTTGTGTTGATAACAACGGAGTTATCGTCATTTATACAAAAACAATCATTTGGAAGCCGCCATCTTGAATTTATAAATTTCAAAAAAAATCATGATCTCCGACCTCAAAAACTCCCACTTACCAATTTTGAATGGAATCAGACCAAATCTTATCCGCCATCTTGGAGCAGCCATTTTTTTTTTAATTTCCACAAAAATTCCAACATCACTGAAATGTTCGTAAATCCGGTGGCAATACATTATGGAATTTTTGTTTGAATTAAAAAAAAATGGCTGCTCCAAGATGGCGGACAAGATTTGGTCCGATTCCATTCAAAATTGGTAAGTGGGGGTTTTTGAGGTCGGAGATCATGATTTTTTTTTTAAATTTATAAATTCAAGATGGTGGCTTCCAAATAATTTTTTGTTTTTGTATAAATGACGATAACTCCGTTGTTATCAACACAAAACTATTACTGCGACATATCATCTGTAAGAGAAAAAAAGTTATTTGTAACTAAGTCATAGTGAGCTATGACCTACATTTGAAAAACTAAAGTTGGTGCTGATATCTCAAATTCTAGAAGAGTTGGTATAAATTTCATATTTTTTTCGAAATCACTTCGAAAAACTGCCATGAGAATGTGAAATTCCTATTTGAATATTTTCATAAATGAAAAGTTACGGAGGAGACATGAAAGTGATCAAAATCTGTTTTTTGCGTATAAAACAAAAACGAATAGATTTTATCAAAATATTTTTTCACATTATAGTTGGCCTTGTCAAACTCCACATTTGGTGTCATTTAACCGACCTCGTATCTCTCACCGTTAAAAAGATACCCATGGTGAGCATGGTAAGTGGGACACACTGTATATCCATTCTCTACTTCTGTAAGACAAATGCAAAAATATCTCTGAATGTCATTTTTATCAAACATGAAAATGAATTTTCTGGGCTGAATACTTACTGCAGATAACAAACAACACAACACACAACTAAAGAATTAGTTGAGTGAAGATTAATTTTGAATATTTGCAGTATTTGTTAGACTTCACTAGATGGTAGGTTTTAAAGATGCAGGAAACAGACGAGGTTGAGGTTGGAAAGTTAGGTTAGAGTTGTTTTTTCTTGCAATGTCTGTTAACTCTAAGCATAACTTTGTTTCCAGGGTCACAAAATTGTTTTGGGTCTGAATAGAATCTCGATCATTATTAGGAATATCAGGATATTCCTATTGGCACTGAATCATCTCACAAGATATAAAAGTATTCAATTAGTGATTATGGATCCATGATCGTTCACTGTGAATATGAATACTGTTGTCATTGGTCATATTAAATCTCATAAGGTAATCACTAGCTATGAGTTAGGAATAAAGATGAATAAATTCACAAAAATAACCCTGTCTGTCCAAGAAGGCGTTTTTAGAAGGTGCCAATTTAAATTATTGAAAAAAAGTAAATGTGATGATCATCAATAACGAATGATTACACCAATTTCTATTCATACCTGGAAAGATCTGTATAAAAAAATAGGCATGTGGTGTGGTAAGTTAGAGAGATAACAATAGTAATGGGTAACCATTTTCGTTTTTATCAAGTCGAAACTTTGTCAACTCTAGAGCACCATTAGCTGGTCTGAACTGAACAGGGTAAATACTTTACGTGACCCTGTCGCATATTGGCATTTCTTTCATTGATACGGCACCATTATTGAAAGCTTGTAATTGGTCAAACATCACAAAAAACATCCACACGGATGAACGAACCTGTGATGATAGCATACCGTATGGCCAATTTCACATAACGGCAGGGGCAGTGAGCTTCATTTCATTTTACAAATAAAGAATGGCCAAATAAAGTGCTCAAAGAAACAAGTGGACCGCTCGACTTTTTAACGTTTTTCAAAATGCCATAACTTTTCTGCAAATCAACCAATTTTCAACTGGAATGCAGTGTTTGAAAGATACATCCTTCGATAAGTTTCGAACAATGAAAGTTGAACAGAAAAGATGCATCTTTTGAACACTGGATTCCGATGGAAATATGTTGATTTGCAAATGGTTATTGCATTTTAAAAACCTTCGAAAATTCGATCGATCCACTTGTTTCTTTGAGCACTTTACTCCCCCTATTGATTGATTTTCACAGAGATTGGACAAGTCAGTCAAAGTGGAGGGTTGACGCCACTGATACTGCCTTTATGTGAATGAGGCTTTAGTGTATCGTGGATGAATGGTATCTTAATTCATGCAGGTAGGAGAAATTAAAAAAATTGTCACTATGCAAATGTGATTCTTATTAAAAGTGGGTTTCCAGTACTGTGATTCCCTATTCGATGGAAAAGTTTTCTTCAGAAGTCCTCAGTTTTATGTCCACGCTGTACAGAATGGCGATCGATAAAGTCACAGTCGTTTCAATTTTCAAAACAAAGCAACTTCCAATTTTCGGGGCGGCAAATTGTGATGTACATACTGAAACAAGTATGAATATAGCTGATGATGAAGAATATATTTGAAGAAGACAACTTGGCGTCGTTGTTGATTATATCATGAAAATTAACGAACTAATAAAACAATTATAAACTGTAGACAGGCTAACGAATAACTGGAGATTAAAAATCGTCACAAGTAAAACTGGTTAATAAAAACATGCATGACCACGAAATCAGATCAGCTCTCGGTGTGCCTATCAGTATTTTGTGTGGTGTGGACGACCTCAAATAATTATCTGCTGCAAGATATAACCTGGTACTTTTCCTAAAAAATAGATCCGTTTTATAAAGGAACAAATTCGTTTGAAAATCAATGACTGACAAGTTATGATTATCATTTTGTAACATAACGAAAGTGGAAAATTATAGATACTATTACAAAATTTTATGATCTTTCTTGATTAGTAATCAACTTCATCCAGCAAATAAGAGTATTGAAAAACCTATCTGGTCTTCAACAATTATTGTAAACCACGTGACAGATTACTATGCAACCAAGAATAGATTCGTATCTCTTCAAGATCGGTGGAAAAATGGTCACGTGGCACTCAATCATTGTTGAAGACCCGGTATTATATCTCATTGCTGTTATGATATAGTTATAATGTATTCAAAGAACAATTTCCGGAAATCTAGACATATTGATGATGCCGGCAACGTCGTACTGACACAAGGAATCGTATTTTAACTCTGTGTGAATGTGGCTTTTCATAAAGTCGGTCATAGGTATGTTGAAGGAGCCAAGTTCCTTTCTCATTTATTTTTTTCTGAATAGAAATTTGATCTTACAGGAGAAAGAAAAAAATAGGTATATATTAATTTTTTACTAACTTCACAGTGAGATGAACACCTCAGTGTTGGAAACTTCCCCATTAACATTAGGCGGGTTGAAGTTGAAATATTTTAACTATCTGCATCATTGTTTGGACAGATTTACTATACTGTGTGTTTCGAAATTCAGGATCAAGATTTCAGGGGCTTATTTTTCAGGTCAAATTGATTGATTCATTGTCTTTATTACCCCAAGAAACATTATTGTTTATAATAAGGATATATACATATAACATAATAAATCGAAACAATAATAATTGCACAATTATTGTTTTACATAATAAAAATTTATTATAATAAAATATAAAATGAAAATATTATAATCCGTTATATTAATTATGTGTGCAAACGTTCTGTTACCTATCTACAGAGCGTTAAAGTTTTTAGTTTTTAATTTTCCAGCACCTTTTATTAAGGTTCCTCAAGCGTCTTATTCTTTAGGTAATGATTGGAAACTTGTAATTAAGATAACAAAGTGAATATGTAGCGTTTTTTGTTTTCAGCAAACTATAAAAAATGTTCTGACCCCTGATAAAATATCTGTCAGTACATTCTTACAATTACTCGACGTACTGTATATTGTGAACCGTAATAGTAATCTATGTTTTGAAATTCAAAGAAAGTTCATGGAGCGAAAAAATGCCAGATCCCTGAAAAAATATGTCCCCGTGGATTCTTACAATCACTCGGCATGATGTATGATGTGATCCTTCAAATTTTATCTGAATATCTCGAAAATTAAAAGAGCTATAGAGAAAAATATTGAAATTTTAACGCTCTGAAATCCTCTGAAATCTTGATTCTGAGTTTTGAAACAATCTCTGAAACAACAATTTTGCATTATATCGGAGCCTGTCAGAACAGAGTTTTGAGCGTGCACTGCTGAAGGAAAAAACACAGCATTGGGAATCCGCTTTTATTTCAGTGCCTTCTTCCACAGTTTAATATGGTATTCGCTGAAACGCTGTCTTGGTGCTGTATGTAATGTAATGAATGGCATTATGCGATTCTGTCCGTATTGGCTTCTACTGAAGAGATATTAAATGTATCGGTGATATTAGAACTGGTTCATAGATAATTTTTATAAGTTTATATGTGATGATGCTTGTGAAGAACGGGTCGTATTTCGGCGAGTTTTGATATTGAAATAGTTCCAGAAATTTCCAAGGTTTGGTCGTTCTGGGCGAGACGAGAACGTACCATTACGAAAATTGACAGATGACATATACAGTGTCATTCATAGAGTCAGCATCATATGAGAAAAACAATCTATTGATTTATTTCGAAATTCGACTTGGGCGTTCAGTTTTGCTTTGAAAAATGTGAAAATGGACTGCTCGGTCGGGATCACGTTTCAAAAGTCACATTTCAGAA